AAGCATATACCAATTCTAACTTTGTTCAGTTCTTTGGTCAGACATCAGAATATGACACTACTCGACGCACGTTTCAAATCATTTTATAAAAGCTTGGTGCATTTCATAAGGCCATTTTTTACATTCATGATAGGACAAAAGGGAATCCTCCAAAAACCAATCATGTTTGGTTTTCTAGGTCATGCTTTGATACGCTTGGTACATTTAAAAAAACAATTAAAACAGCCAACTAGAAGGCTTCTATGTTATGTGGGTTAGATTCGTTCCCTCACGCACAGAATGCGATAGACCCTTATAATGGACTTCGGGTCAAATAATGTAATTATGATGAAGCAAAGCAACGGCCAATTTGATAGAGGCCTACATATACCGTTCACTGGTCAATGCCATCCCTTAAACTATTTTGTCAACCCATGTCAAACAGGGATTTGACGAAACTTTCTGCAATGTGCACTGGGTAGAATGTGAAGACTGCCGCCTCACGCAAATGAGCCAGGCGGAGGAAGCAGTCAGTTGTTGGTTACGGAATTATTAATCAAAGCAAGAGAAGTGCTCCCTGTTAATTATTTGTATAGGATCGAAGAACGAAAAAAAAATCGAATTGAAAACCCGTTACGGTAAAACAAAGAAAAGCCCAGAGCCACAAGAAGGAGTTATTCAACGAGCACCCAGGTTATTTAAAGGCAAGTGCTATACTGTAGAACCAAGCGTGGGTGCATCATACCCAGTGCACATTGTGGGCCTACTTCTTAACTGTGGGAGGAAGTTTCGTTTTTAAAAAAACCGTCAGAATAGTTTGATCCGTTTGAGGGTAGCCGGATTTTCTTCTTGGAGAGACAACAGCTGCCGAGGGGGGAGGGTTGTTTGATTGTTGTTGTTGTTGTTGGTGGTGGTGGTGGTGGTGGTGTTGTTGTTGTTGTTGGTGGTGGTGGTGGTGGTGGTGGTGGTTGGTTGTTGGTTTTTCTGGGGTTTTTTTTTTACACAATTCGATGAAATTCTCTAACACTAACACCAAACATGACTGATTTTTGTATTCCCGAATGGGTCCCTTTTCATTTTTTTAAAAATTAATATTTTTTTAAAACTCCGCCAAGACGACATTTTTTTATTTTAATTTTTATTTTAGCGCACAAAGGATTTAGATTTTGTTCCACCCGGCATGCGATAGCCGTAAATGGGTTTCCGGTCAGGTCAAAATTGATGAAAGTAATGAGTCAGCAGTAGTCAGTGCCCTTGCCCACTTGGATCTCATCCGAACTGATCATTCTTTTGATACGCTGATACTTTATTTTTTATATTTTAAAAAAATATTGTCTCTCATTGTCGATGGCTGGTTTATATTCTCATCGGTACTGCACATTTTCTGCAGTTGGATTTGTGCCGTTGAATAGCTGATGATAGGGTTATGGGTAGATCATCAGGACTATTGTTATTGTTGTTGGTACTGTTATTGTTGTTGCTATTATTTTTATTGTTGTTGTTGTTGTTGTGGTTGCCTTGGATCTGGAGCGTGTCTAACAACTTCAGTTCTGATCCGGGCAGACATGCTAGGTCTAATGTTGCTGTACTTTATGCCTTTGTGGCTACAAAGGGACTTACATACTTTACTTTATCTTTCCTCTTGTACCATCTAGGACGTCGACGGGGGAAAGAGCTTTCGATCTCTGGCAAACTGAATGGCCTGGCTGGGTGGGATGTTATGGGTCTTCAGGGTATCCTTCACACCCTTGATCCAGGTCTTCCTTGGTCTTCCTCTTGCCATGCACCCTGATATTATTTTGTTTTATGCTTCACTGGAAAGCTGGTTAGGTGCAAAACGTGTCAGGTGTCCAAACCACCCGATTGTTTGCTTCCGAATGTAATGGAGGACAGGACCAGGTGTTGTTCCCACCATTTCCCTGATCCTGATGTCTCTGATCATGTCCCAACTGGTTTTGTTGACGGCTCTCCTCAGACATCTCATCTTGCAAGTTGTTATCTTGCGTTACAGACTTTTGGTCAAAGTCCATGTCTGGCACTAGTAGGTTAAGGCGGGTATGAAGACTGAGTCAGTGAACTTGGTTTGGGTCTCAATGGAGATGTAGGGAAGTATGACTTGGTTTTAATCACATGACCGCTACGGTAGGCATGAAGACCATCCCGGGTCACCCTAAAACGCCCGACTAACGGGGCTCTGGTGACGCTACGACGGGCATAGCAAACCGCTTCAAGGATTTTATTGCTCAAGAAACTAAAAGGAGAAAGATACAAAAAAACAGCCCATATTGATCCAGTGCACAGTGGAAGAGACCGGCGTTGTTTCTCAGCATATTATTGCAAATGTCGCATTCCCGTTTATCCAGGATCCTCTAATGGAAGCCAGTTTGGGCGTTTTAGGTGTTTAAGTTACAGATCCACTTTTTCTTCTTCGCGGCACATCTGGAAATGCTGCTGCAGCTCCGAAAGCATTTGTCGTTACGGCTGCCAGCGTTACACACGACAAGGTTTTGTAGCGGTACAGTACAGTCAAACCTGCCCAAGACAGATTCACAAGGGAGCCAGAAGAAAAATTGTCCCAAGCGTTTTCCGTTTTGGACTTGGATGTGGGACCAGCGTCCGTGGTGAAGTGGTTAGGTGCTTCGCTATAGCACGCATGAGACCCGAGATCGATTCCCGCACGGGGAGAAACTTTTTATCGATTAGCTCAGTTTTTCTGCTAGGAAGTTTTATTTTATTCCTCTCAGCCAGGTTGGCCCTTACAGACATGATCTTAAGTCCACCTCACAAATGATCTAAATTGTGTCAATGGGGGAGCGTTAATATAAAAAAATTTTTTTTTAATAAATTAAAAAAACCCACACTTCCCATGTGCTTTCCTGGCCTTTCTAATAATATTAATACATAATGGCATAAGCCATTACTGATTAATATTAATCCTTTGCCGCCTTGCATCTCAATTATGACCTTAGTCCAATCAACAGAAAGCGGTTCAAGGTTTCATTTGTTTCCACCCTTGTAGCCTCACCCATCGATTTAATAAGCACAATCAACCAATGACACCCCCTTTCCTTGGGGGCTCTCGAGGCCTTGGGGTTAAGGAGTTCGCCTCTCAATAAAAGGTCCCGGGTTGGAATCCGGGTAGCGACCGAAAAATTGTTTTCTCTAAAAAAAATGTCTCCCTTCAGCTCTTTTTCTGTTCTCTATCAATGTTCTATCGTCTGCTTTCGTTTCCACTTTCTGCCCTCACCCCCTCACCTCCTTTGTGTCCTCTTCTGGGCCCCTGACTCTTTCTGCACCCTTTCTACAGCTATACCTCCTTGGCTCCTTCTTACCGCTGTCTTTCAGCCACACTCCTGATCTTCAGGTAGGAAAGATCTACACCTAGCCTTCTCGGACAAGGGCTAAAAATTTCGAAGGTCCCGTGCTGTCTAAAATCAATAAGAGTAGGCTTCGGCAGCCACCCGGGCAAAATTCAAAATTTCCTATCAATTGAACATGTTTGGTGTGTCCCGCGCGCTCATATGACCTTATTATGTAGTTGCAAGCGCCGTAAAACACTTACCAAAAAAAAAAAAAAAAATTTCCTTCATGTAACAACGATTCGAGGAACTTCTGATTTGGCTGGCGGTGCTATCAGAGGGGGGGGGGGGGGGGGGGGGGGGGGGGCCCCCGGGCCCAAAAAACCGGGGTATTCGACTCTCATTCAAACGTCCCGGGTTCAAATCCGGGTGGCAACGGAATTTTTTCTTTCAAATTGTCTCTTTTCACATCCTGTCCCCTGCTCTCTAACAATGTTCTCGTCTTCTTTTATCTTCATTTTCTGCCCCCACCCCCTCACCTCCTTTGCCCCCTCCTCTGGGCTCGTAACTCTTTCGGCAGCCTTTCTACTGCTTCTCATAAGCTCCTTCTTATTAATCTGAAATAATTGCTGTCTTTCAGCCACTCCCATGATCTATGGTAGGTAAGATCAACGCTCAACCTTCTCGGACAATGGCGAAAAATCTCGGAGGTCCCGTGTGCAAGTTGAGCACGTTAAAGGCCCCTTGGTTGTCCAAAATCGATAAGAGTAGACTAGGCGTCGGCCGCCACCCGGGCAAAATTCAAAATTTCCTTCAAACTGAAAATGTTTGGTTTGACCCACGCGCTCATATGACCTTATGCAGTTGCGAGTGCCGTAAAACACTTAGATTTGAAAAAAAAAATGAAAAAAAAGAGCGGCAGGCAGTGGTCAAATGTCAAGTGTCTGTGCCAGTCGAATTTGAGCATGTCGGTATGATTGGTGATAATGTTGGGGATTTTATTGCTTGTTTGTTTGTTTTTTGTTTATTTTTGTATATTTTTGTTTGTTTTCGTTTGCTTGTTTTTTTTCCTTGTGGGGTCGCTGTCGGATCATCATGATGAGACTTTAATTTAATACTATTTCTCGGATGTCGGTACCGGCAGGTAGGCCTATTTGCGTTGGACACATACGAAGAGAATAATGCTAGGCTAATTAGTGGTTCAAAATTCTTCTTCTTCTTCTTCTTCTTCTTGTTCCGCTTTTCTTCTTGTTCTTCTTGTTGTTGTTTTTCTTCTTCTTCGCGCGCTCATAATTTTGACCTTATGCAGTTGCGAGCGCTGTAAAACCCATACTAAAACTAACTTCTTCTTCTTCTATAATGTAAAATAAGCCTACACGTGTTCAAGTGGGGATCGAGAACAGACTTCAAGTTCAAGCGCGCCATATGATGGAACTTGGCATTGCTATAGTTCTAATACAAATGTGTAAAAATAATATATATATACGAAAAAAAGCGAATAGCAGCAATGTAAATCGATTTATTTTTAATCTAAATATCAAAGTTAAAGTAGCTAATAATATTGATATCGTCCCTGAAAAGTTGGTTGCCGTAGGCTAGCCCTGGCAAAATTACAGCTTGTCGTTTTCGTTTTCCGCGCGCTCATTTTTAAGTCCCTAGCAACACCATATGTAAATTCATTCGCCAGTCACTGTTAGATACAGTAAAACACATTAGAATAACTATCCTCTAAATGGGTCTTGTTTAAAATAAATAGCTATTAATCAATAAAAATGCTAAAAAATTAAATACATCATCTAGAAAATAAAAATTTAATTGAAACATTCGTGTCTCGGAAGGTTTTGTTTACAAGTTGTTCGCAAGTTGGCGTCGTCAAAATGGCGGACGACGACACGAAGAAACCGAAGACGGTTTATTTCCCCTCTATTCCTCCAAAAGTTCCTGCTACTGCGCTCTCCTATTCAAAGTAAGTTTGCAGAACCTTTAGTCGGGACTTTAAAATGATAAAGAATAGTTTGTTTGTCTACAAGAATAGAGATAAAGCTTGAATGTCTAGTAGAATACCCCCCAAGCCCACAAAACAAGCTGCCCAGTGGCTGTGTCAGTGTCATCTACGACAATGATGCCGATGCCGATAGTTCGTCATAGACATGTCGTAGTAGTATCGTACATTAAAGTGACAAATTGTTATAGTCCTATGATATATTCCATAACCATAATTGAATATCTACTGAATTTTAATGAACCAAGTCACGGTCGGGCAAATGTTGTTTAAAGGCAGACGGCGGTGATGATTATTATAAAGTCTATATATATCTAGATTCTAGATCTAGATCTAGAGACTTTAAAGAATGTTAGAGATCACTGAATTTGATTCTCACTGTTGTATAACAGAGTTGGGTATTTTTTTTACTTTCCCTCCCGTCTCACACTCAGCTACCAGTTGTCTATTTTCTACTAAATATTGATGCGCTGAACACGAATATCAACTTCATTTCCGTCGCAAATTAATGGTTTTTGAAATATTTGATTGTTTTTAACCGAGATATATCTATCTAGACATGCTTTGGACCAATCGGGGGGTTCCAGGGGGGCCTGCCCCACTGGGGTAAAAGAAAATCTGGGGGGTTACACCCATAATTTGATATTTTACAGTTAGATTTGAAATTGTCTTGAAAATAATTGATTTGCGACAGTTTTAGTGGCTTTATGTGTGATCTGCAGCAAACAGTACAGCAGTTTGACCCCTGAAACAGTGCATCTGTGTGCGGGAGTGAAAGTAAAAATTTACCCAGAGTTGTAACAGTATATTGAATATGAAGGTGTAGGGGTAGATCTAGATCTAGATCTAGATTCTATGTCTTTGTACTGAAACTCACGAACAAAATTCACCGAAACTCACAAAATTCACCGAAACTCATAGAAACTGTCAATTCATGCGTGCAATTTTCTGTTGTTGTTTTTTTTGTCGTTATTAATATTTATGCATTTTTATCTCACTTTCTTCTTCTTCTTCTTCTTCTTCTTCTTCTTCTTTTTCTTCTTCTTCTTCTTCTTCTTCTTCTTCTTCTTCTTCTTCTTCTTCTTCTTCTTCTTCTTCTTCTTCTTCTTCTTCTTCTTCTTTTTCTTCTTCTTCTTCTTCTTCTTCTTTTAATAACATTTATCTTCATGATAAAAATATGTGAGGCAGCATGGTGGAATCAGGCTCTTGTCAATTTTTGGGCATGTAGAGTTATAAATTCCAGTATCATCTTAAAGCTCTCGCCATCTGTTTTTGTCCTCTGCTTTCCTCAGATTGTCACCCATTGTCTTTCCTGTCCACTCTGTAATGTTTTCCTCCCATCTCCATCTCTGCCTTCCTCTCTTTCTCTTTCCTGGTACAGTTCCTTGCAGGATTGTTTTGGCAAAAAAATCTATATAATTTAGACTCCCCTCCCCCTGTTTCTCTCTGTCCATCTGTCTATATGTTTTAATGCCCAAACATTTAATTTGAAATACAATATTGACATTGTTTCAGTTAAATGATTCCATTTAGCATTGTTTTGGTGTGCTTCGGTGAGTTTTGTTTGTGAGTTTTGTGAGTTTCAGTAAAAAGACATACCCGTTATATTTATATGAGTCTAGCCAGTCTAAGTTGTTTTTCAGCTAATTTTTTTTAGTTATCGTTAGTGTGATGTTAGTGACAGCAAGATCTAGATAATAATTCAGAAAAGCACTTCTTTGCAGCATTTTAAAAAATTAAATTCTTTTCTAAAATTCTTGAACTTGAAGTAAAGTCAAAGCTACGAGAAAGCCTTCTGAGGTTTGCAATACTTTTATTGTGATTATATTTACAGGAGACATGCCTCTTCTGACTGCTTGTCTCAAGTTGTCTCAAGGGCTTTTAATCATCACTCGCTAGCTCCTTTACCAATCTTACCTCTCTAAAAATACTAAATCAATTAAAATGCCAAGAACTAAATCAAAGAAGATTGAGAATGAGGCCTTGTAAGACTAACAGTTTTGTCTATGCCTCATTCTCATTACATTTTAATTATTTTTTTGTTTAGCTAACTGGGGAATTTATTTATGTGAGCTTTGTTTGAGGGAAGTTTGGAGATGCTTGGTCTGTGCTTTTGCAGAGTAGATTGATTACATTTTTTTGGTCCCACAGTTGGTATGGACCCTGGCATGGATATTAATTTAATACACATGTTTGGCCATATTGTTCTTTTTCTCTGTAATCTGTGCCGAGGAGGCTCAATAGTAGGCAGTCTTTCTATTGTGGACAAGCACAAAAATGGCTTGCAGTCAGGTAGGGCGGAATTCCACTGGCTGTGTCTTTGGTTTAGGTTGGTGTTCAAACTCAAAGTGCCTGGGCAAGAAAAATTATTACCTGTTGAAAAGAATTTAGTATTCTGTGAAAAAAACGTCTGCAAAAATGGTTTCCATTGTAATGTCTGCAATGGTGTATTTTTTTAGTGAATTTATAATTGACCAATTAAATTGATTGTTATTAAATTTTCTCTTCAGGTCTGTACAAGAAGCACCTTACAGAGCTCTCGTTGGAGTTGTAGTTGATGGAAAAGAGGTGGAAAGAGTAAGTTCCATAACTTTTTGAAATAATTTGTGATGATCCATACTAAAATTTGTGATGATCTGTTATTATTCTAACAGAAGGCACAAATTGCTTTTTTTTTACCTCTGGCAGCGGGAGTTCAACATAGTTTTGAAGGCTTTTCTCTGCAGGATTACTTAGCTACAATACTTCAGAATGGCATACTATCATCGGCAAGGGGTAGCACCTTTTTAAAAAAAGTCTATCACAAATAAAAACATAATTCCTCCGTCAGGATTACTTAATATAATTGTGGTAGGGTCAACATTATGGCCTTCTTTGTGTCACCCCTCTTTACGTTGAAATTAGTGTTATTTTAAATTTTATTTTTACCAGATGTATCAAGTTGTGTAGTTTACAAAGACAAAACTTCTTTTTTTTCTGTCTGAGGTCACAGTTTAAAAAAATTCCCCCTTGCATCCAAGGAAAGATTTCTATGTTTAGGAGAAGCTTGAAATGTGTTGATTTTTTAAATAGTTTTTCGAGAATGTAGTTTTTGTAAGAGTATGTTAAATATAAAATGCTTTGATTTCACTATGTGATGTGTCACAACACGGTGGAATCAGGCACTCTTTAATTTTTTTTGGCTTTGGGAGTTATTGAAATAATCTTAACTCTTATCCTGCGTCTGTGCTGAGATGTGAATCTTATCAGCAACCGATTACGTCGGATGTTCCGGGCAGGCCGCCTGGGTCACTCAGTGTGTATTATTGGTGTACAGCGCACGCGCCGGGAAACGTGTGTTTTCGCCATGAATGTGTGTTAGTTGATGATGAAAATAAAGCTCTATCTTTCATAGCTTTCTATTTATAAAGTGTTACAAACACATGAATAACCCCCTCTCACAAGCTGATAAGACATTACGGGTAGTTACGCCCATTCAAATAACCTTTCTAGACGCTCTTGTTGCTATGAATGACCTGAGGTTCCAAAGCAGATAATATAGGTCAATTTCCAAATGTTTTGCACTCAAATTGTTCTTTGTACCTGCACAATTGTATTCAAAACTATTTAACAAGTTTATTTTTTATCATGTTGTATCATTTCATACAAAATCAAGCTCATTTGAAAGGTTTTGTATAGAAAAATGGAAGTCTTGTCTCCCGACTATCCTTTCGAGCTCCTCATGTCTAAGTAGGTCAATTTCTTATATAATTTCATTGGACGAACATCTAGAGCTACCAACTTGCATGTTTTGAATGAGACGTTCGATTACGAACCAATGCAAGCGGTTCTAGAAGAAGGCCACAAACGTACACATACTCAAGCAGACTGATGCACGCACACTTGACCTGCATGAATGGGGATCCGACGCTGGACCTGAATTTCACGTGAGATGATGCTCGGCGCGCGTGCGCTGAGCCAGGGGCTAGACTGACGCGGGACCCGAACGAAGGCGAGGTGCCGAAATAAACTTATCGGTCGACATACACCCAGCCCCCGCGGACGAGAGTTAAAGACTGTTCATTTACCTTGCTTTTGATGATAAATATACCTTTCTATCTGGAATAGAAGTTGAGATTTTTGCAGTTGAAGGAGGTTAGGGTAGCCTCGTGTCAGAAGTAAAATCGGCGAGAACATGACTGCCAAAGGTGGTGCTTTGGGGAAAGAAACGTACAGCACCCATTGCAAGTAAGTCAGAAAATAATACTTTCTAATTAGCTTGTCGTGGACTTTCTATTTGTTACTTATATATCCTTAATCGAGGTTTACTGCAGACTTTTTATGGGAAAATATTTCTTTTCAAACTTACATAAATAGAAATCCTCCAAATACAGCATGTAGCTTTCTTTCTTTCGTCAGCATCATGAGAGTCCCAGATACCGTGTGAGACGTCAAACCGGACTTACCAACCGATGGCGTCTTCCAGAATCTCTGTACAGCGACCTTTTAGGCAGTTCCCAGGCTCTGAAGGCTATCAACATGCCTTTCAATCAAAGCTTGGTAGAGGTCATCACACGTACGTATCCAGCATGCAATCCAAATATCCGGAGTATTCAAGATTTCAAAAAGAAATTTCAAAATAAAAAGGAATGGAGTTGGTTAAAACAAAAGAAAAAGGAGAAAGCCAAGTCTACTGAAGCACTCCCTCCCTTGTAAACCCAGACCCAAGATATAAAGTCCTGTCATAGAGAGGTGCAGTTTTTTTTTTCCTTCTTTTTTTTAATTGGGGAAGGATTTTTCATTCTCTCGAAATAAAAGATCGAGGGATTTAAATAAAGAATATGATATTTGAACTTCTGTTTGCTTTGTGAAAGTGAATTACAGCACTGTTGTGCTTTTACTTCAGTTTCGCCCATTAAATTATTTCCATTTGAGTTTGAATGATGGCTTTGGCTTGATGTTCTCTGTTGGCTTTCTTCACTTTGTTTAGTGCGAGAGAATGCCACTTTTCTTCACTGAGAGTCTGTACAAAACCATAAAGAAGTGTACACCCCGAGTGTTAGTTTGTGACAAGTAAAGCTGTGGCTTTTCTTGTTGCTTATTCTAGAAAGCATCTATATAAATATTGTGTATGTGTTTGTGTATGCAAGTGGTCAGAAGGTGCCACTGGTAGTTTATAGGCATACACTTTTTTTCTTTCCCACTTATTGTCCATCTGTTTTGCTTTTTCTGTGCTTTCAATGGTTAGTTGTCATGCCAATTTGCTTCTCTTTATTAAAAGTAAACGAAGTTTGTCTGTGGGTATGCAAGGATATTTTTCTACCATGATTTAACAAAGTCTTCATCACTAATGTTATGTATATATGAAATATGAAATACTGCTTTTTAATTGTAATAGTAATAATAATAATAAATAGCATAGCCTTCTATCCCATTATGAAACAAACAAGCTAAAAATATGAATAACTTGTCTCAAGATTTAAGTAAAATTCAAAACTTTAAAAAAGGAAAAGTCATAATAATAATATCTTCAGTCATTTTTGTAACCAGACTAAAGCTGGATGTTTCAGCATTGCATGCCGAATGGGCTCTATTACATGTAAGAAGTGCATCTGGATATGATGAAGGCATTCGTACAATTTCTTTTATTAAAACGAAAAGAATAGTGAAATGGGGATGTTCAGCTGACAGTCTGGAGTTCAGGTTAAAAATGTGTTTCCTGACACGTTTGTTATGTTAACTTTGGTTTGTTTGACTGGTTTGGTCTCTAAATGATTTTGTTGTCCTTGAGATGATTATATGTTGAAAGTTTGCTCCTTGTGTTAGAAGTTTTTGACTACAGTCAACGCTTTTTCTGCACTTTTGACTTAGCTTACCATTTTACTTATTAGACTGGGCTGCAAGTTGTGCATTCACCAAACTTTTTAAAATTGCATGGTGTTGGCGCTCAGTTGAACCTCGCTAGCTTGAACTGAACAGCTTTATAGGAGAGATTTTTTAAAAACCTGTTAAACATTGCTAATGTTTACACTAGGCAATCAAATTTTGTTGATGTATAGAGATGGGCCTTGGTTAAGGACAAAACCTGTGGTTAGCGAGACTCTCTTTTCAAACACTGTTCCAATGAGCCTTATTAAGGCTTGAGTGAGCTTAGAGCAATTCAACACGTGGCTTTTGATTGTTCCACTAACCTTGCTATCTTTAGTTTGTCTTTAAATGCACAGTGTTAACATGCTTTGGGTTGTTTTATGATGTCCCAGTGGCTGGCAAGTGGTCTGTAAAACATTTTGAGTGGGTGAAGAAATTTCTTTGTTCCTTAACACATCAAGGAAAATCAATAAGGTAAATGACCGCATGGAGAAAAAAAGTGGGATTCACTGGCCCATGGTGCCTGTCTGGTGCTTTCTTAAGTTATAACCCAAAGAATTGGACATTTCGCTGTGGTAGATAGTGAGGTTTGTGTAAAATTTAAGGTTCGTTTTTTCAGCTTTTGCAGTTTGAATCTGGGTTTAATATTTTACACAATTTGTGCAGAGATATCAGAAATCTTTTGGTGCAAAAATATTTTTTACCAAAATCCGAGTTAGCAAGGTTCCATCGGAGCACCGACAATGTGTCGTTTGGCATATTGCATCCAGGGATTTTTTTCAGTACCCATTTCATCTGCTTATTTTACACCCACACTCTATGACTGGTGGCTTTTGTCTCACACATAGGCATGAACTGAAGCCCACTAAAAGGGCTGTTAGGTTAAAGGTGAAGGGTTTTTCTTGCGGTGTATCCTCTTTTGATGGAGGGCGCACAATGATGTTCTTGGCTGGCTAGTGTATTCCAATTTATCCGCTTTGTCCCGGGGAGGGGGGGAGGCTTAGTGGGGGGCCCTTACAGCTTGTTGCACAGATAACATGTGAATTAACTTGCAATTGTGTATGTTTTAGGTGAGGGGTGGGGGGGATGTTGATAGGGGCAGTCAAGGAATAAATCTTAGTAGTAATTCTGTGTGGGTGGTTGGTGGGCATTGGTATGGTTTGCTTCCTTTTTTCTTATCAAACATCTCTTCTCCTTTTCTTTTTATGTCACTCTTAAGTAAAAGTAACACCTTCAGTCTTCGCCATATATATGACCTAATTATGACGCATGTGCCGTAAAACTGGCCGTAAAACTGTTGTTAAATGAAATTAAACTAAGCTGCTCTGTATGATCCCTTTCCTGAATGAGTGAATTGTCTTGTTTCGTCTGCTCATTACAGATGAAGGCCCAAAGCAGTCCATGCACATTGATATGTCTGCTCCATACTCTTTTCGCCAAATTGATGACAGGCCAGCCACGTTTCCTGCTTTTGCAACTCGAAGTCGGACAACACTGGAACCAGGTGCACTTGCCAATCCTTTGACTGTGCGGATTAAATCGTAAGTCACTTTGTCATCTTTGGTGGAGGAGAGATTGTTAAGTCTTTAGACTGAAAATCATTTCAAAATACTACTTATTTTTCTTAAATACCTTTATGCTTGATTTTTTGTTTGCTTTTGTCAGTTATTCTTCTTAGATGGGATAAAAGTTCATAACAGCTTTTTTTCCAATCTCTTTGCCATGCATACTAAGGCATGTATATTTGAGTTAAAGGAAGTACATCAACTCAATAACGACCTTTGGGTGTTAAAACACAGACAGACGGAGACCATGGAGGGACAATAAAGAAATTGGAGCTCTCGTAAAACCTTTCTACCACCCACACGTATAATCTGTGTCATCACTAATGATGATTGTCTATATGGAGATGTATGTGTCTGTCACTGTTTTTAACTGTTCTGTATAATTCCTCAGCATCCCTAAGTCTGTTGGGAGTGTGAGAAGCTTTGTACCCAAGTGTGCTCGTCCAGAGACTCCAAAAGATATTTTTTTGTATCACTCAAAGAAGAGCATGACATTCCTGGGACCTGGTGAGTGACTTGCATGAATAGTGAACTGACGTAACTTTGTTTTGAGAAAATTATCAATATTGTACACTTGTTGTATTATGAAATATTTGTCGACATACCTATATTGTCACAGTTATAGATAGTTGGACTGCTTTTCGTTTTAACAGGTTTTATGTAAATGTTTGGGATAAAGCAAAGTTTTAAAAAAATCTAACTCAAAATGCTTCCATGTCCTTTGCTCACCAGTTGTCATATTCTGCAAAATTCTAAGTAAAAAACAAGCAGTCTGTCTATGATTGTGTCAATATGTGTGTTCAAAAGTGAATTTAGTCACTCTCAAGCATCACGTATGGTCATAAGGACAAGGGCTGTGACCAATAGTCCCTAAAGCCTAGGGTAAAGTAAGTCATCTATTATTATTTAAAGGGCTACTGTGAGTGTGCTTTAACATGCACCATGTCGAGATTTGACTATTACTAACAAATGTGTTGAACACCTTGTGGTTTGAATTTGAAGTGCATTTTCTGTACTCAAATCAACACTGTTAATGTAGCATTGATGATACTAATAATAATAAGAAGAAGAATGGATTGTCTTTATTATGTGCATATTACTGCTGGAAACTAGGCTCAATGTGCTTTACAATTTATATTGTAAGCATCAAAGAACTCAAACACTGTGATGTATAAATATTGCCTACATTTTTGTTTCATAAATTAATCTTCTTTGTAGGAAAACAACATAAAAAACATGGTATGTATGTCAAGGATCAACATCCCTGAACTGTATCTAAGGACAGAAGTTTAAGGATGCAGTAAAGAGTGTAAAATATTCCTAGGATTTTTGCCATATATTTATCTTCAGCCTTAAAGTGGGCAGGATTTTCATTTAAAAGAAAAGAAAGATGTTCAAAGTAAATTTGTTGGTCCTGCAAATTTAATTGATTTAAAAGATATTTGGTCAGACATGTAAGTTGAAGTCTGTATGTTTTGAAACCTAAATTTTAATTTGTTCTTTCATCATGCTGAATGTTTCGTGTGCAGAGTTCGATTTGTGTTTGCTACTTTACACTTGGCATCCTTTTAATTTCTGTCCTTGTGTGGGCTTATGCAGATATATAGACTGGAGTTGCTCTCGTTTTTTTATATTTAATGAACAAATACAGTGATGACTTTGCTGAGACCAAGCCCGCTTTACGTTTAATTTCTCCTGTCTAAAAATGATGGTAAATTGTATGAACTGAGGGTGAAATCTGTATTCTTTGTTTTGAGTTGTGTCTTATTTACTCATGGAACATAGTGGTAATTAACATGTGAACCATTAACCATTTCTGAATTAGTACTCTAGACTTTCTTATAAACACTGCGAGATAAAGGAATGATGTGTGTTTAATTATTTACACGGCTGTTGTATTTTTATTAATAAAACAAACTAATAATCTAGAGAATGATCCAGCGATTTCATTGAAGTACAGTTGTCTCCGCCTAAACGCACCTCACACAAAGGCACACTCCGCTTAGACGCACCCTTTCGTCACATGACGAGTTTTTTACTTTATAATTTTGACTTACAAACACACCGTCACTTCTTCTAAACGCACTCTTCAATTCGCGAAACACACTGATTGGCAAAGCTTGACAAGGGGAAATTTACCTTGCAGCCTACACAGCTTACATAAGACAAGTCTAGACACCTTGACAACCGGTTACCTGTATTTTGCGAGACTGACCCTCAAGCAAAACAAAGAGAGTGATGGACAGAGTTTTCACGCCCAACTTTCCATGGACTCATAGGTCTAGGATTGGTCGGGTGTGAAAATATGTTGAGGATGGTGGGGGTGGGGGGAGATGAATTGTCTTCTGATTGGTCACTCGAAATGTGTCTTTGAGAGAAGCTTTCTGACTGGTGTTTGATTGACAGCATACGTAATGTTTAGTTAGACCTATGATGCGCAACACAAGTGGATGCTGTAAAACACTAGATAGGCCTCTTATTAAAGATTAGTAAAGTTATCAACTACCCTCAAAGAACTTATAACGTACTTGTTCAACGAATCACAAGAGAAAAGTCTGATGTCAACTATGCATTTACCGAGTTGCAATAGATGACAGACAGTCGGGGTTGGTCGTTTGGAATTGGAAAGCCGCATGGCTGAGAGCTTTTGTCTGTGACTAGATGTATCACGAACAATTTCCTCTTATCTGTTCCCAACATTTTATAGTGCATATATCAGTACAGTAAGTCCGTTTTTCTGCGTTCCCTTCCCCCCTAACACCTTTGTACTCATAATTCATAAGCGCAATAGGGAAATCCTTCACAAGACAGTCATGTGACATCACATAATTGGCCAAAATGACCCATCAACCCCAAGGGAAATCACAAAAATATCAAGGAAATGAGATATTGCGTCACTTCGTCCCTTTGCACAGGTTCATGTAAACACACGCTCCATATAAACACACTCTTAGGGGACTTCCCGAACACCGTGGGTTTAGACGGAGACTACTGTAAGTGGCTCTGCCATGTCATGTACAGTATTCTTATTATTCAAGATTTTGGCCTTTTGAATTGATTCCATCCCAACGCCGTGGATCTGTTCCATGACATTTGTGCTGTAAAATTAAGGAGAGGCTGTTCTTTCAAGAAGTTTTCATGTCTGTCTTATCTCAAACAATGGTTAGAATATAGGCGCCTCCTCTGAAATGACTAACCTTTCTTGATAGAGGTGTAAAACTTAACACCCAGTCAGCAGCCAACTTTCTGAAATTTCTGATTTTGAGAGTAATACAAAACATGTGTCAACACCAACAGCCAGAGCAAAATTATTATCTGAATGAAAATGTGCTCCCTTATAATGGAAATTTACTAACACATGTGCGTTGTTTGCTCCTTCACGCCTGATGTGACCTTTGATTGGATTACAAGTTTGCAGCTGAGTGACATATGTTGTGTGACATTATTGCTGTGTCAGCTCTCAGCTACAGGTATTGCCCCACCACATAACCTTTCCATTTGCATGTTGAACGTATGTGTGGTATCATTGTGAAATCTGGCACTCATCAAAATAATTAAATTAAAGACACTGACATTTTCATGCCTATTCAGCAATTTTAATGATTTTTTTCCCCCTTTGACTCGACACCTTTTATGTCTATTTCTGTGGGGATTTTACTATAAAATGTTGATCAAAGGTACAAAAAATGTAGATCTAAATTTGCTTTTTCCAAAGACACTCAAACTTTGGAAGGCACCCAAATTTGTGACCATTTTTTCCCTAATTTTACCGCTGAAACCAGCGAACCCCAACTTGTTCAATCCCAAGTTTATTTACTTCTTTACAAGATATGTAGGTATTTTTTCACCTAAAGCAAGACAAGAGAACAATAAATTTTAAAATGATATCAATAATTCCGTATACCCAAAAATTGAAGAGTGCCTGAATCCACTGTGTCATGACACACATTCTTTTCAAGCCATTTCATATCCTTTTTTTTTTTTAAATGCCATGTTACTAACTAAACTAGTCACTTTGTGTTATTTTGATAAGTGTGGGGTGTTATGAGGGGCAGGAGGTGTTTTTGTGTCAGCATTAGCTTATTGAAAATGAAAAGAATCTGCTTTTGTACTTGTCTAGTGCCCAATGAGTCTGAATATATCATTTTGAAGATGGATTATGTCTGCCAATCATTAGAGTAGAAAAAAAGAAAAAATGAAAGCAGAGAACGTGTATAAAAATGAATACTTTTCATGTATGTTTAAGGTAGTTTGTTTGGTGGGTTGTTTTTTGTTTTTTTTTTCTTTTAGGGAGGAGGGGGGGATTTATTGGGTGAGAATGAAAAAGTTGTTGACTACGACTTGGGACTGCCTATATTAGCTGTTATTGTTTTCTTTCGTAAAGAAATCAGTTTTGAAAAGGGGAAAAGAAATCTAAAAGTCAGTTTTGAAAAAGAAAAACAGATTTGTTGGGCATAGGCAAATTTCTTCATCCTAGGAGAAGCTGAAACAGAGCTACTGGTCTAGTGTAGGAAATTGTTATATAAGCAAGCTGTGCTGTATGGGACCGCTGTACTTTTTAGGGATGCTAGCTAGTACCTGGATGTACACACCTTTTTCGCCCCTAATGAGAGAAATATTCCAAACACTTGTCTTGAAATGCTGTTCCTTTCCCCCCTCCCCCTCTCATCCATTACTCTTTTTATCAACATTATTGTCCATCACAGCTTCTGCTTCTTGGCTACCTCAGAATTACAAAGTTCTATCTGACACTTTTGGCCGTTTTCAGTTACTGAGACCATGAAATCAGAAATCAAATGCACTTTCTGCTCTTATAAAAATCAAAAAATGATTTTAAGTCCTTATCAAGTTATTCGAAGAATTGCGTTAGAAAAAGCTTGACATGTTGTGAAAATCAAAATTTTTAACATCAAATTTCTCAAAATTAGGTACAGAGCAGATAGAACTTTGTAATTCTGAAGTAGCGACTTGTGGGAAGTACAGTCTAGCAGGCACATAGCAAACAGATATTCAGGTCCCAGTTTATTTCTTGTACATAATATATCCTCTGTATTTATAACACATGCGTAGTGAAATTCATACATAACAAATAGATTTCCACATCGGACCAATTTCTCTATCTGCATGCTAGACTAATTAATACTTCTTAATAATAATTGCTTTTATATAGCTTATATCCACGCTTGACAGCATGCTCTATGCACTCTACAACTATTATTACCCCAGCAGACCCTAGAACACAGCTGCAAAATATTTTCAGCTTCCCGGGAAGCATACAGTGCAAGCTGTGGATTTCAGGGGCTCAAACCCTAATGAACTGACAAGATCTTTCACTGTCTATAGCCAGGTACTCATTCCCACTTGGGTGAAGTGAGGAAAATGTGCATAAAATGCCTTTCCCAAAGACACAACGTCGAGTCCCTGATGGGATTTGAACCCACGACTGTGCGGTTGCAAATCTGAGAGCCTAGCCACAAGGCCTCCAGCTTCTGGCGCAAATTTTGCGAACCTTTGTAGCATGTCCTCTGGCCAGTACAATTTCTCCTTGAAAGACTGGGAGAAGGGGGGGGGGGAACCTATTCTTGTTGAGGCAATAACTGACACAGAATTTAAGTCAAAGTGGGCACTAGCCAAATTCACTTAGTGTATAAGAACCTATTACACACAGCAAATCATTGCTTGATCATTGAATGCAATGCTAGTGTAGACAGAAAGGTAGACACATTACCCTCACCTTTTTTTCTCAAGTTGACAGAGAGCTGTCTCTGTTAATTTGTTCATGTTTACGGTATAGTCAGACTGAAGCTGTCATCCTTGTATATATTTTTTTCTATTATCAATGTGTCTCCTTTTGCAAAAAAACCCAACTTAATGAAGAAATGAAGAGTAAGGGAAAAAAAATCTGAAATGATTCTAAAAGCATTTCATCACATCTGTAGTCCTTCTTTCTTTCTATGTAGACCATATCTCTCTCTCTCTCTCTCTCTCTCTCTCTCTCTC